GAGAGTGTGAGTTCGACAGTACGTCACAATAGCAATCTATTTTATTTTACTAATTTATTTATTATACTATTAATCTTGAACCATCTCTCTCTCTCTCTCTCTCTCTCTAAACTAAAGAGGTTCGCATTCCACAGATTCCAGACTTGTCACGAAATATATATATATATATATATGCGAGAACCAAGGGGGACAAGTGTATCTACATCTCCATTCCCAGAAAGGTAGCATACCTATCACTACATCAATCCATTATATTTAAAAAGATATATTTATCAACATGACAGACTACTCGAAAGCACAGGAAAACTCTCAAGGAGCGTACATGGCTGCACCCCCACCCACTTATTCAGGGGCGAATTCTCCTCATCCCACTGCGCCAGTCCATGGACCATATCCCACCACATCGGCTATGGCCCCACCCGTAAACCAGCCTATACAGTACAGCGAGGAAAAACAGCCAAAGTACAACTACCAACAACAGCCACAACCGCAGCTGTATCAACAGGGCCCACTGCCCGCTAATTCATACAAACAACTGCCGTCAGTTAATCAGCAACCGCAGCCCGTTGCTATCACCAGCAAGCCTGGGTTCAAATCGCAGTGTTTGTACTGTCCCAATTGCCAGAAAAACTGCATTACGCGAACTGAGTTTGAGAACGGTGCCTTCTCATGGGGTAGCGCTTTCTTCTGCTGTATCCTTGGGTGTTGGCTCGGGTGCTGCTGTGTTCCACTAGTAATGGATTCCTGTAAGGATGTCACACACTACTGCTCGGAGTGTCGCGCACCTATTACACATAGATCGAGATTGTAAGTTTGTAGCGACGAATATCTATACTATATACACACAAACCAAAATTAAAACAAATTATCAGCAAAGCTATTCCTATTGAAATCAACACGTTTGGTAACGGGTCGGGTATGCACGTCATATACAGACTCGCTTAATGCATATATTTGAGTGCACGGACAGACATGGTGTCTGTTCGTAGTCACAATGTCGGTCAAATATTACGTACGTCATCCTGATACATAATGATTGAAATATATACTAATTTACTTGACGGTTCATTCCGTGGAGACCGACAACACTTAATCAAAATTTAGCTATCTTTTTGCATCATCCAGTTATCCAGTTTATCATTTACGTACTGATCTTCACTCACTCACATACGTGCGTGCATGTACGTCTGCACTCAGACAAACACTCACCTTCACCCACCCGCCCACACACACACACACACACACACACA